AAAGTCTATAAGTCTGGGGCCTCCCGAGTGGCGCAGCGGTCTAAGGCACTGCTTCGCGGTCTAAGGCACTGCATCGCAGTGCTAGAGGCGTCACTACAGATCTGTGTTCGATCCCAGGCTGTATCACAACCGGCCGTGATCGGGAATCCCATAGGTCGGCTTTACTTGGCTCATCGCACTCTAGCGATTCCTTGTGGCAGGCCGGGTCCCTGCAGGCTGACTTCGGTAGTTAGTTGAACAGTGTTTCCTCCAACACATTTGTGCGGCTGGCTTCCGGGTTAAGTTGGCGGGAGTTAAGAAGCATGGTTTGGTGGGTCATGTTTCGGAGGACGCATGACTCAACCTTCGCCTCCCGAGCATGTTGGGGAGTTGCAGAGATGAGACAAGATCGAAATTGGGGAGCCTAAAGTCTAAAAGTCTTTGGTTTTAAATATACTTAAGTATCAAAAGTAAATGTAATTGCTAAAATATGCTGAAGTATTAAAAGTAAAAGTAAAATTCCTTATATTAAGCAAAGCAGATGGCACAATTGTTTTTTTCTTGTATTTAACATTTACGGATAGCCAGGGGCACACTCCAACACTCAGACATTATTTACAAAAGATATGTTTAGTGAGTCCGCCAGACCAGAGGCAGTAGGGATGACCACATTCCCTTGATCAGTGCGTGAATTTGACCATTTTCCTGTCCTGCAAAGCATTTTTTTGGTTATCATGGAAAATGTATGGAGTAAAAAGTACAATATTTTCTTTAGGAATGTAGTGAAGTAAAAGTTGTCAAAAATATAAATAGTAAAGTACAGATACCCCCAAAAAATTACTTAAGTAGTACTTTAAAGTATTTTTACTTAAGTACTTTACGCCACTAATCAGTGGTACCACTTCCGATTCGGCCCATACCTGGCGAGAATTCGGGACCTCTGCCTTGCTTGCACATGTGACCGCCCTTCTGAAGCGTCTTATATATACACTCTGTGTCATGCGAAAAGCTAGCTATTCGCTGGCGCAAGTGGGAACACTGCCGGCTGAGGAGTACGTTTCACACATCCACAGGTGCTACACTTGCTTGCAGAGCAGCTCTTACAAACAGAAGATTCACCAGTCGCAAGTTTTGTAAATGAGTTGCATTCATACTCAAATTGTGTTGCATGTTTGCAAATCTTATAGAATTTATTCACAGATCAAGTTACATGTTTGCAAGTGTTATATTTTTTATATATCACGTTACGTGCTTGCAAGTATTGCGGCATTTATTCTCAAAAGAAGTTACATGTTTGCAAATATTTGTTGCAACTACAAAACTGATTATACAGGTGCAACTCATATTTTACATGTGCAAATCATACTTTACATGCCTACACAACACACTTATGTCTGTCTCTAATTTACTTCCATTCAGGACATCATGTTTAGGAGTCCATACTTCTGTTATAGGGTCGGTCTTATTTATAGGACCTTGTTTAGTTTGTACACAATTATTATTTATCTCAGAAGATACTTGTACGGATTATATTCCTAAACGCTCGTTCACTAGCTGAGGAAAAAAACACTTGTATTGAATACAACCACAGACTTTATCCTCATTGTGTTGCTCAACTCACCGCGAATTCAAAGGCAGTTGAGCAATACAAATGAGGAAAAAGTCTGTGGTTGTATTCGATAAAAGTTTTTATTAAAATTATGAATTTCAGCACCACGCGGAAGGACCGCGGTTGTACAGGACAAACATAGGTACAGGTACAGTGGGGAGAACAAGTATTTGATACACTGCCGATTTTGCAGGTTTTCCTACTTACAAAGCATGTAGAGGTCTGTAATTTTTATCATAGGTACACTTCAACTGTGAGAGACGGAATCTAAAACAAAAATCCAGAAAATCACATCGTATGATTTTTAAGTAATTAATTTGCATTTTATTGCATGACATAAGTATTTGATACATCAGAAAAGCAGAACTTAATATTTGGTACAGAAACCTTTGTTTGCAATTACAGAGATCATATGTTTCCTGTAGGTATTGACCAGGTTTGCACACACTGCAGCAGGGATTTTGGCCCACTCCTCCATACAGACCTTCTCCAGATCCTTCAGGTTTCGGGGCTGTCGCTGGGCAATACGGACTTTCATCTCCCTCCAAAGATTTTCTATTGGGTTCAGGTCTGGAGACTGGCTAGGCCACTCCAGGACCTTGAGATGCTTTTTACGGAGCCACTCCTTAGTTGCCCTGGCTGTGTGTTTCGGGTCGTTGTCATGCTGGAAGACCCAGCCACGACCCATCTTCAATGCTCTTACTGAGGGAAGGAGGTTGATGGCCAGGATCTCGCGATACATGGCCCCATCCATCCTCCCCTCAATACGGTGCAGTCGTCCTGTCCCCTTTGCAGAAAAGCATCCCCAAAGAATGATGTTTCCACCTCCATGCTTCACGGTTGGGATGGTGTTCTTGGGGTTGTAGTCATCCTTCTTCTTCCTCCAAACACGGCAAGTGGAGTTTAGACCAAAAAGCTCAATTTTTGTCGCATCAGACCACATGACCTTCTCCCATTCCTCCTCTGGATCATCCAGATGGTCATTGGCAAACTTCAGATGGGCCTGGACATGCGCTGGCTTGAGCAGGGGGACCTTGCGTGCGCTGCAGGATTTTAATCCATGACGGCGTAGTGTGTTACTAATGGTTTTCTTTGAGACTGTGGTCCCAGCTCTCTTCAGGTCATTGACCAGGTCCTGCCGTGTAGTTCTGGGCTGATCCCTCACCTTCCTCATGATCATTGATGCCCCATGAGGTGGGATCTTGCATGGAGCCCCAGACCAAGGGTGATTGACCGTCATCTTGAACTTCTTCCATTTTCTAATAATTGCGCCAACAGTTGTTGCCTTCTCACCAAGCTGCTTGCCTATTGTCCTGTAGCCCATCCCAGCCTTGTGCAGGTCTACAATTTTATCCCTGATGTCCTTACACAGCTCTCTGGTCTTGGCCATTGTGGAGATGTTGGACTCTGTTTGATTGAGTGTGTGGACAGGTGTCTTTTATACAGGTTATTATTATTATTATTATACAGGTAACGAGTTCAAACAGGTGCAGTTAATACAGGTAATGAGTGGAGAACAGGAGGGCTTCTTAAAGAAAAACTAACAGGTCTGTGAGAGCCGGAATTCTTACTGGTTGGTAGGTGATCAACTACTTATGTCATGCAATAAAATGCAAATTAATTACTTAAAAATCATACAATGTGATTTTTTAGATTTTTGTTTTAGATTCCGTCTCTCACATTTGAAGTGTACCTATGATAAAACATTACAGACCTCTACATGCTTTGTAAGTAGGAAAACCTGCAAAATTGGCAGTGTATCAAATACTTGTTCTCCCCACTGTAAGTGTTTTCAGAATTTACATTTTTACAAGTATGGACTGATGACGACTCAATGTTGATGCTAGCAAAACGCGGGACCAGTTATCATAACTCAACTCCGCCTCGATATAAGAAAACGGAGTTGCGCGTTCCTCATCTACTCGCTCTGTTGATCTGATGCTCCAGGTCTAGGAGGGGGTATGAGAATTGAGCGCAATTGCATAACCCCATCCCGTCTGCGATATAAGCGGATCAGCATCCCGTCACAGTCTTTCATTCAGCACCGAACTTGACTGTCGTTTGCGCAGGTAGGCAACAGTTTCCGATAACATTACGCATGTGATAAATTGTTTCAAATGCAATGCTGTAAATGGCCAATGATTGAATTATATTTTTCTATTTTCTATGTGTCCTTATAATATTGTTGTGCGCAACGTTTGTGTGCGTGTGAATATTGTATTGATGCTGGAAGCCGACAGTCGGCCGCTAATGCGCATAGATAGGCTATTCAAGTAAGCAGAGGGATGAGAGAACATGGCGGCAGGAGGACAGCTTGAAAAGCCTGCTAAATCCCCTAGACTTCATCAGAATTATCTGGTCGCGCTGCTAATTGTAGCACCGCCCCCGTTTTCTAGTCACCTATTTTTGAAAACATGGACAGCAAAGGCAAATGAACAGTGAAAAAACAAAACTATTGCAAAGAAAAATTAACTATTGCAAAGCTACCAGAATTTTCTATTAGAAATAACTGTCAGTTCTGGTTATATCTGGTATCAGCACCCAGTTCACCTAGATAAGCATGCAGAACTGGCTACTATAACTATTTCCATACATTACTCAGCTAATTATATGTTATGTCATAAATAAATAACAGCCTAGGGTGTTGATTCATGTGGCAATTGCACAATTTTGTGAATTTGTGATGATCTTGTGTTTATCTGTCACTGTCATGTTGTAAGTCAATGAAAAGGAAATTCACACTACTGCCCTAGTAAAGCCTGAAATTATTTAAATAATATCAGCCGTGTTATGATGTTATTCCCCTGCATTTAACCTGTGCATGCATCCACTGCAGTAGTCTGGCTTCAGACATGGCTGCTGCACTTTCAATGGCAAGGATCATGACAAAATGGAGGACTATCTGTGAGGCTATAGTTAGCAAATTGATACGGAATGCGGAGGATATTCAGTGACATAAGAGCTGATTGTCTCAATGTCTCACTGCTGAGCTGAGCTGTGGTGGCAGAGGAAAGGAGGGATAACTAGCTGGCCGGCTAAGTGGAAGAGGAGAGGTGTGTGGAGGGATGTGAGGAGAGGGAAGAAACTGTCAGTGTGTCTTGAGCTTGACAGAATTCTGTGCCCACTGAAGTGATGCCCAATTTGCTGACATTAAGTGATTGCTTATTTGTCTTGTGGTGACAAATATGTGAAATTGTTTGTGTGTGTAAACTGTGCTTGTCCTTAGAAGTTATGCTGAGGCAGTAGCTGCTGTGGCTGTTACGCAATGGCAAGTCAGTTGTAGTGTCCTTGTCCTTGTTCTTGTGCTGTAATTCACTGTATTCCCTGCTGTGTTTTTGCGCAGGAAATCCCTTAAGATCCATTGACTCTGCTGCGTTTTCTGTTTGCAGACTCTCTCACTGTCACTTTAACCATGGGCAAGGAGAAGCTTCACATCAATATTGTGGTGATCGGCCACGTGGACTCTGGCAAGTCCACCACCACTGGCCACCTGATCTACAAGTGTGGTGGCATTGACAAGAGGACCATCGAGAAGTTTGAGAAGGAGGCTGCTGAGGTGAGTAGGAGTTCGTACTGTACTTTGATAGTTTGTTCTTCTGTTAGCTGACGTGTTATAAAAAGGGTTTGTAGACTGCTGTTATAGTGTATTATGCAATCATCTTTATAGGCTACTTAAAGATAGACAAGATATAACAATATGTGTCAAAAATGCGACAATCCTTCGTCTTGGCAGTAGAATTTAATACCATGTTACTCCTCAGTAACATGTTTATAACCAGTGATGTGTGATTTTCTCAGATGGGGAAGGGCTCCTTTAAGTATGCCTGGGTGCTGGACAAGCTGAAGGCAGAGAGGGAGCGTGGCATCACCATTGACATCTCACTGTGGAAGTTTGAGACCAGCAAGTACTACGTCACCATTATCGATGCTCCCGGACACAGGGACTTCATCAAGAATATGATCACTGGAACCTCCCAGGTCTGAACCACAATGACACAGTCCTTCCTTACACACAGACACCTGCCAGGTTTTCACTCAAGTGACTGGAAGTCTATTATTAAACTTGCAATTTTGGCTCTCAAGGTTAGCTTATAGCTGTACTATAACCCCAGACAACTTCAGGAGTCGTAAAGTGCCATCTTAGTTGCATATGAGTTTTGAAAACCTATTGTATGTATTATTCCCATGTTCTGGTGTTTACAGGCGGACTGTGCTGTGCTGATCGTGGCGGCCGGTGTGGGTGAATTCGAGGCGGGCATCTCAAAGAACGGGCAGACCCGCGAGCACGCCCTCCTGGCTTACACCCTGGGGGTCAAGCAGCTGATCGTGGGCATCAACAAGATGGACTCCACTGAGCCCAACTACAGCCAGAAGCGCTATGAGGAGATTGTGAAGGAAGTCAGCACCTACATCAAGAAGATTGGCTACAGCCCGGATACGGTAGCCTTTGTTCCTATCTCTGGCTGGAATGGAGACAACATGCTAGAGGCCAGTCCTAACGTACGTAAGCACGAAACTAAAGTGCATTTCTTATTATTTCTGGTCGATATTCTAGGATAGCGTTGCAGCCACAGTGAGCCATCTATGAGTATATGCAATATAATCTGCTCTCCACTTTAATTTGAAGGAAGTAAGTCAATGAAAAATGTCTAGCACAGCACACTTAATAACTTTGCTTTGGACCTACTGCTCACTCCTGTCTTCTGCATGCTCAGATGACCTGGTTTAAGGGATGGAAGGTCACCAGGAAGGATGGCAGTTCGTCCGGGACCACCTTGCTCGAAGCTCTGGATGCCATCCAGCCCCCGTCCCGCCCCACCGACAAGCCCCTCCGCCTGCCCCTGCAGGACGTCTACAAGATTGGAGGTGAGCATCGCACCCACCCAAGAGGCTGTCCAACCATAATGATGATACATCCCTCCCCTCACTTTTGTATCCTCTCTCCCTCAGGTATTGGCACAGTGCCCGTGGGGCGTGTGGAGACGGGCATGATCAAGCCAGGCATGGTGGTGACCTTTGCCCCTGTTAATGTGACAACCGAGGTGAAGTCTGTGGAGATGCACCACGAGGCCCTGACCGAAGCAATGCCCGGAGACAACGTGGGCTTCAACGTCAAGAACGTGTCCGTCAAAGACATTCGCCGTGGCAACGTGGCTGGAGACAGCAAGAACGACCCTCCAATGGAGGCAGCCGTCTTCACTGCTCAGGTGGGCAGGGCCAGACACACACACACACACACACACACACACACACACACACACACACACACACACACACACACACACAACTACTGTAGAGGTGTAAAAACCAAAGAACCACAAGTCATACAACTACAAATAATTAGTATGTTTAACTATGATACATGGTAGTGATCACATGGATAAAAGTATTTGTGGTGATGATACAGCTTAGTAGTTACTATTAATATATCAGCACTGTTTCACACTGCTCTTCTCTCTCTCTGTGATGAGTTGTGGGGAACTATTTTTGTCAGCAAAGGGGCCAACATTGAATGTCATGGTTAGCACATCAGTGCTGATACAGGTGTTGACAGAACAACCATGTTGACTGTGTTTGATGTTCCCTCCTTTAGGTGATCATCCTGAACCACCCAGGTCAGATCAGTGCTGGCTATGCCCCGGTGCTGGACTGCCACACCGCCCACATCGCCTGCAAGTTTGCTGAGCTCAAGGAGAAGATTGACCGTCGCTCAGGCAAGAAGCTGGAGGACAACCCCAAGGCCCTGAAGTCTGGGGACGCCGCCATCGTGGATATGGTCCCGGGGAAGCCCATGTGTGTGGAGAGCTTCTCAGAGTACCCGCCACTGGGTGAGTATTGTTGGGTAGTAGTTCTCTTGGGTCTGGTTGGAATTCTTTGAAAATTATTTCACTCTCCCTTGAAGTTACCATTGATCTCACATTCTCTCTCTCTCTCTCTCTCTCTCTCTCTCTCTCTCTCTCTCTCTTCTCTCTCTCTCTCTCTCTCTCTCTCTTCTCTATCCTCTCTCTCTCTCTCTCTCTCTCTCTCTCTCTCTCTCTCTCTCAAGGTCGTTTTGCAGTGCGTGACATGCGCCAGACTGTGGCAGTCGGGGTGATCAAGGGTGTGGAGAAGAAAGCTCCCTCCACTGGCAAGGTCACCAAGTCCGCCCAGAAGGCCCAGAAGACCAAATGAATGTTGTGCTACACTGCCGACTCCAGAGTCACCCATGGCAGGACAGTGGTCACCCAACCCCACCCCCCTATTGGCTGCTTCAACTCCATAGTCAAGGACTGGTTAATAATCACAATGCATCGCAAAAGTATCAGAAGGAAAGAAAAAACAATTAAGCCTAGTCCTTAAGACAGTGTTTGTTCTTACTCCCATTTCAAAGTGGCTAGATTCATATGTATTTACGTTGTAATAGCACATTGCTAGTTTTAAACGTGTACTGTTAAATAAGTGAATGACCATGTCCCCCGTGTGTGAGATATTTTAACCATAGAGGTGCGTGGTTATAAGTCACTCCTCACGCAGTCTGTTGTCTTGCTTTTAGTGTTTGTTTGTAAACTACCTGGTGCTTAATAGCAGCCTATGGTAATACAACTTAAACTCTTATAAGTAGAAAATTAGAGAAAAGTTAAGTGTATGTTGTATTATAGCTTTAAAGTAAACAAAAAAAGATAAACATTTTACATTTGTCTTACTCTAGGCGTACTGAGCAGACCAATCGTTGACTCTCCAAGCACTTTTAATTGGCATTTTGCTAACTTTGCACTGGAAAACTTTTTAATTGGCAAAAGCTGTTGCACCTTACTCTGTTCAAGATGGCAGAAGCCTCTTCATGACATTAAAGATGTTTCAACCAACCAGAATGTACACGTACACAGTTTTTACAGATGTAATCGCAGGTGCAGTGAAATGCTTATGTTTCTCGCTCTGACAATGCAGCAATATCTAGCAATACAATAACAATACACACATAATACAAAATTAATTAAGACATATCTGATTGAGCAATATCAGAACGCGCAGTCAGAACCAGAATATAAATATATACTGTGTGAATGTGAATGGTATGTATAGACAGAATGGACAGTAGGGGAAAGTGAAGTAAGTTGAGCGCCAAAGGTTTAGTTGAGCCACCCCTTTTTTCTAGGAAACCATATACAAAATGAATCTTGACCAAATATTAAGGAAGAGGTCATCATTTCATGGTGTCTGAAGAAAGAAACCACATGGAAAAAGTGGTAAGCAAGTTAGGTCCAAAAAACGGATTTATATAGTCAAATTAATTTATTGTGTTATAGGATTCATTATTTTTTATACATCTGTTGGGGTGTCTATAAGCTACAATATGAGATCCTTAAATCAGCATGAAAGTGCATCCTTGTAGCTGTGTGGGCTAATATATTCAATTGTTTTTGCCTTGGGGTAAGTTGAGCCCATGGCCACCATACCCCATACAAATTATGATTAAGTTTTGTCCGTTTTAGGAGTAATATGCATGGTATTTTCGCAACATGTCATGCATATGAACTCAAGTGCATTTTTATTGTTACAGAGCAGACATCATCATGCCCCGTGTATACAAACGTCAAACAAGCAGCGGTCTAGCCCCCCTTGAGGTTCTTGAGAGAGCAGCCAAGGAAGTGAGAGAAGGGAAGAGGTCCATTCCAGCAGCAGCAAGGTATGAAAACATAGACTGAATGACATTGAAGAGGTACATTGACAAAAAGGAAAAAGAGTACCTGTGCGAAAGAGAGGCTATGATAGAGTAGCAGAGGCACGCATGGTTTTATCTGATGACATGGAGGCTGAGCTTGCTAAACATATCAAGAATCTCGCAGACCAGTTTAATGGGTTTAGTAGCCTCAAATGCAGAGAACTTACCTACAAATTGGAACATTGAAACAACATCCCTGTCCAAGACAACTGGTCAAGAAATGGAAGGGTAACCCTTGACGAACTCCACAATTTGTTGTGTTACAGCCTGAATTCAAAATGGATTAAAAACAAAAAATCTCACCCATCTATACACCATTCCCAATAATGACAAAGTGAAAACATGTTTTTAGAAATTTTAGCACATTTATTGAAAATAAAATGCTGAAATATCTCATTTACATACGTATTCAAACCCCTGAGTCAATACTTTGTAGAAGCACTTTTGGAAGAGATTACAACTGCAAGTCCAAACACACCAAACACACCAAGACAGTCGTGAAGAGGGCACGAAAAAGCCTATTCCCCCTCAGTAGACAGAAAATATTTGGCATGGGTCCTCAGATCCTCAAAAAGTTCTACAGCTGCACCATCGAGAGCATCCTGACTGGTTGCATCACCGTATGGTATGGCAACTGCTCGGCCTCCGACCGCAAGGCACTACAGAGGGTAGTGCGTACGGCCCAGTACATCACTGGGGCCAAGCTTCCTGTCATCCAGGACCTCTATACCAGGCGGTGTCAGAGGAATGCCCTAAAAATTGTCAAAGACTAGTCATAGACTGTTCTCTCTGCTACCGCATGGCAAGCAGTCTAGGTCCAAAAGGCTTCTTAACAGCTTCTACCCCAAAGCCATAAGACTCCTGAACAGCTAATCATGGCTACCCGGACTATTTGCATTGCCCCCCCACCCCACCCATAACCCCCTCTTTTACGCTGCTGCTACTCTGTTTATTATCTATGCATAGTCACTTTAACTCTACCCACATGTACATATTACCTAAATTACCTCGACTAACCGGTGCCCCCGCACATTGACTATGTACCAGTACCCCCTGTATATAGCCTCCCTACTGTTATTTGATTTTACTGCTGCTCTTTAATTATTTTTTATTTTATTTGTTACTTTTCTATTTTGTACTTAACACTTTTTTGTTGGTTAAGGGCTTGTAAGTAAGCATTTCACTGTAAGGTCTACACCTGTTGTATTCGGCGCATGTGGCAAATAAAATTTGATTTGACTTGCATTAGTTGATTTCCCATAGTCATCTATGACTGGTTCTTGGTCCCCCCCTTTCCTCCCTTGTAGTCGTCCAATAGTAATCTTATTGTCCCTCATTATGTTATTATTTTCTTTCTGCATCAATGGCTACCTGTCCACTCCAAACGACTTGGGGAGAGTATAGAGGTTTCTAATTGTTCCTAATTGTTTTTAATCTTGGTAAAGCTACCATGGATAGATGCATAATATGTAGAACTGTAGTTTTTGAGTATTTTAATCAACTTAAATCTGAAGAAAAAACATATTTATGCTCAGGTTTATTGAATATTATGGATATCAACACACAATCCCCATGTCCCCAATGCAAACCGGGCTTAATAGGAGCATACTGCCCTTAATTGGATCAGCAATTATATCTGGTAAAAATAATAATAATAATATGCCATTTAGCAGACGCTTTTATCTAAAGCGACTTAACCATTTTTACGTATGTGTGGTCCCGGGGATCGAACCCACTACCCTGGTGTTACAAGCGCCATGCTCTACCAATTGAGCTACAGAGGACCAGATTTGAATGTTTACATCCAAGATGAGGTCCATCTTGAAGGACTCACTTGCATTGAAACACATAGGGATTGTGTGTTGATATCCATAATATTCAAAAACAAAGAATAGCAAAGTTTACTCATAAAATATTAGGAAACCAATGGTCTGGGGTATAAATATACACTATATATTACAATATTATGCAAAGTTAGTATTGAAAATGTTGAAAAATAAATATATATTCCCATTTGCATTCTATATAAAGAGCGTGCTTTTTGTGCTACTGTACCCTTTAAGACCATCTGAGATAAATGTCAAATTTACCAAACATTTACCAAAAAGGCATCTATGTATAACAATGCAAGGTTAATTTAACAGTAAAACAAGACAAAATGCATACAGAGATCTATTATATTGTTGTGATTCACAAAGTTATGTTGCTACTGTATTGACTGTGACATATGGTATGACTGCTAGCATGAAAACCCCATATTTTCAATTGGCAAGAAATAGTAATTCATTCCCATTTAGTATGTTATCATGTGCATATATCAACACAAAAATATCTTCACTTCACAGTAAGTACGATCACTTATCTGAGAAGGTACTAAAAATATCAAAAAAATGTGTTTATCTGAGAGTCGCCTCCACACCAATGTGTTTTTGCAACTTAGAAATTGGCCACTAGTAGGAACTTACACATAACTGTCAATAACTTAATAATAAAACATCTGATCGGCTTAGAAAACCACATGAACTGGTTGAAACATTAAATAGCATAACTTTTTTTCATTTTTCTTTGAACCCAAAGATGGAAGTGGTCTTAATGGGCACAAAATAATCAAAGGTCTGACTGCACGGAGATGCTTGGGAAAAATGGTTACAACGGGGAACCAGAGGGTTTGTGTCTCAGGGGAAGAGGGTGGATCTGATCTCCATCACCTAGGACTTGACATAGATTAATCAAATCTCACATTGTTGTCAATTTTTGCACAATATTGCATGCATTCTCAAACAGCTGTAACTGTATATGCATTCATAAATCAGGTCCTTTCTTGAGTTGGGCTCTGGGATGTAACAACTGTTGAGCATCTGATCTTATGGTTGATTGTGGAGGAAAGGGGTTGAATGTGTTAGAGTATGTGTGTGTGTGTGTGTGTGTTTATCCCACATCTGTTGCAAGGGGGTAAGGATGTTAGGGAGAATATAGGATGAACCACAATAATTGCTTGACAAAAATGTTATGTAATACAATGGCAATCCGGGTTATAGGTAACAATCCTACGCATGAACTGCCGACATTATTACGAGGCATTCCGCCTCGGAGGCGGATCCGGCTCCGGGCGTGACGACCACATTCTCTCAGCCTTCCCGTTGCGCCCCTGGTCTGGTCTGGACCTCGGCGCGCTGCTTCCCCTCTCCTTCCTCCCACGATACTCCAAGCCCTGTCTGGACCCTGGTGTGGGAGACCCCGAACCTGGAGAGGGGCTGACGTGTGGGTCTGGACTGGAGCCGCTGACCGGAGCTGGACCAGGCACCGGTGGAGCGTACTGCTCTGGCTCCGGAGTGAAGCTGCTGACCGGAGCTGGACTATGTACCGGTGGAGCGGACTGCTCTGGCTCCGGAGTGGAGCTGCTGACCGGAGCTGGACTTAACCCCGGTGGAGCGGACTGCTCTGGTTCCAGAGTGGATCCGCTGACTGG